AAAAAAAAAAAAAAAAAAAAAAAAGCTGCAGATGCTGGCGTGGGTGTGGGGAGAAGGGAACACTTTTAGACTGCTGGTGAGACTGCAAACTAATACAGCCTCTATGCAGACAAGTACGGAGACTCCTCAAAGAGCTAAATGTAGACTTTCCATTTGATCTTGCAATCCCATTACTAGGCGTCTACGCAGAAGAACAAAAGATCATTTTATTATAAGGACATTTGCACCAGATTGTTTATTGTAGCTCAGTTTATAGTTGGCAAGATGTGAGAATAACCCAAGTGCCCATCAACCCAGGAATGGATTAACAAACTGTGGTGTATGTACATTGTGGATTACTATTCAGCTATAAAAAGATGGAGACTTTACATCTTTTGCATTAACCTGGATGGAGTTAAATATTCTTCTTAGTAAAGTATCGCAAGAATGGAAAAGCTGGCAGCACCTGTGGCTCAGTGGGTGGGGAGCCGGCCCCAAATACCAAGGGTGGCAGGTTTGAACCTGCCCCAGCCGAATTGCAACAAAAAATGGCATTCTGGCAGGTGCCTGTACTCCTGGCTACTTGATAGGCTGAGGCAGGAGAATTGTGTAGGCCCAGGAGTTGGAGGTTGCTGTGAGCTGTGACACCACGGCACTCTACCAAGGGCAATGGAGTGAGGCTCTTGTCTTTAAAAAACTAAGTAAATAAATAAATAAAAACAAGAATGGAAAAGCAAGTATCCAATGTACTCAATACTAATATGGAACCAGTAGATGACTTAATACACTTCCACACAAGAGAAAAACTCAATTCAAGACGGGGAGGAGGGAGAGGAATGAGGGAGGGGAGAGAGGGGAGGGGATGGGGGAAGGATCCAACCACAGCAGAGCCGTTACCTAACAAATGCAAACATCGTACCCTAATTGTTTGTGCACTCCTATTAATCTGAAAAAATAAAAAAAAGACGTTCATGATAGGGATTGGAAATCTCAGTAATTATGGCTAAAAGAGTAAATTCATAAGCCGAAAGGGGAACTTGGATTCTTTCTCAGGATAAGGATATCAAAACACCTTCAAATAATGAATAAAGTCTAGAAAGGAATGCTCTCCTAGAGAGAACAGCATTAAAAATGTTGCAGGCCAGGTCAAGAATGTGAAACATTTCTGTAAAAAGCCACAAGAGAAATCTTTCAGGCTTTGGTACCTGG